AGCACGTAGAAAAGACAGCAGGGATTGTAAACTGGCATGAAAATCAGTGACATTAGAAACCAGGACTACTGTTGAGGGACTGCAGAAGCCATTAGGTGCCTCTGGCCTACAGAGCAGTAGAACTCTCAGTTGGATGTGCAGTCAATCTCCTTGCCCCTTGCAGAAACTATCCCTGTCTACTATGGGTATCTAAACAGCATCCCTTATTCCATCCTGGCTTTTGCTGCTGTTGTTTCCAAATTATCCATGCTGAGAAGTTGTTTCCAGGGTGAGGATTTTCACAGGATAAGGCATAAAGCTTTCCAGATGTACTGTCCACATCTTAACAAGCTGGAAAGGCCAGATGCAAGAGGCTTCTCATCGTTTCCCACAGGTTGTATTATTTTAATGTGTATCTGGGATTAAGCTATCACTTGTAAAATGCTGACTAATAAGCAAAGCAAAAAAATAGCCTGAGTTGTAGTCAACAATGTGGAAAGACTAGAAAAATTAAAAACTGTAAAGACATCCCTGCCTGTAGCCCAGGGTCTGAATTTGCACAGTGAAACCCTCTTAGCAGTAACCGCCACAGAACAGCTCCTCTATTCCAGCCCAGTCAATGGTACCTCCTGGGCTGCTTCAGCCCTGTGTGCTGAGGCTGGAGACTCTGGTTCCTGCCACAGATATGGTCATCTGAGATGATTAGGCAGGCTGAGGGCTTCAAGGCACACAGCAGCCACCCACCCTCTGCATAGTATCCACTTACTGTGCACCTGAGATGTTTTAGATCTTCCCTTCTTGCCCTGACATTATACCAAAGATGTTCTCACCTTCCCAGGGCATGTGCTCAGGGTGTCCAGCTCTCTAAGTCTTTGCAGCCGCCTCCCAGTTGCCATCCCCAGCCTCTGTGTGAACAAACAACAAACACCAGCCCTCGACCTGTGGAGGAGCCAAGCTTGATGCACTTAAGTGGAACAGCTTCTGATTTGGTTTCCCATCTTTGGTCCACCTGTGTGTACCACACTATTTATTTCCTATTATTAAGCACTGGCAGTATTAAACATCTTAAGAGCTCCCAGAACCTCTGAAACAACACAGTTTTCATTATTGTGTATGTGTTTGTCGAGGCACTTCAGACTGAACCTGCCTGGTGCTCGCTCTCCGCTGCCCTGGTTTACTCCACACAGAGCTGGATCCGTCCTGGCTGGAGCAGCACCTCCCTACTCATCCCCCTGCAGCATGCAGTGCCCCAGTCCTGCAGGAGCACCCAGATGATGTGGACCAAGAGATAATTTTGGCATAGTTATATCAGGTAGAAACTCTTCCTGCTATCTGTCAAGTGGGGGTGTGACCTCTGGTTTTCTCCTCTCTGGGGACAGGGGTTTCAGTGTTCAGGGTTGGCCTCGTGTTTCCCCACCAAATGGGATGACAGGATGATGGTGATTAGTAAACCCACCTGAGAAAATCCTCATAGAGTCTAAACTTAATTTGTGCTGTTCATTGGCTGCACTCAGAGGGAAGATTAATGGGTCCAGTGTGGTGGTTTGGGGGAGAATTTGCAGTTCTTTGCTACCAGAACCTTTTTATTTCCTGTCATTCCCATTTCCAGGGCAACCAAATAGCTTTTTATTAGTATCTGGAAGAAAGAGAAAAATCAAATCCAGGGTTTCAGTCCAATAAGGATTTAAGGAAGCTTAGTAAAGACATCATGCTCAATGTTAGTCATACAAACGTTCCATAAAATCATGTTTCGTTGGTATTTTGTGTTTAATTTTCTTATTCATGTTTTAGGCACGTTTGTGATTTATTTCATTATTTTGGATCCCCTTAGATTCAGCCCTGCTGGTCCTTCAGCTCTTATGCAGAAGTTCCAAATGGTCCCAAGAGCAGAACTGACAGAGCAATTACTAGCAAGGTAGGCACACTGTGCCTGATAAAAATGAAGAGCTTAATTAACTTTGGGGTCTTTTTGTATGCGCACTTGCTTCAAGGAGACAAATTGAGCTGCATTTCAATATGTTTATCTCTTCCATTTGCTCACTTCAATACCACCTAAGCAGCCTTGTAGTTAATATTTGCATATTCAGCATTATTTTGCTCTTGAACCTGAAGTGACCAATATTGTCTTCCTCTGACAGGAGTACTTAATTCCTTTTATTTTTAAATATTGCTGAGTGATGTGATGGATGCAAAAGTAGTTACACATTTGTGTGCTTGCTTTGGCTGTGATAGAGTTAATTTTCCTCACAGTAGCTAGAATGAGGGTCAGTTTTGGATTTGTGCTGGAAACAGTGTTGATAACAGAGGGATGTTTTCATTATTGCTGAGCAGTGCTCACATGGTGTAGAGGACTTTTCTGCTTCCCACCCCATCAGCAAGGGAGATTGCACAAGGAGCTGGGATGGGACACAGCCAGGACAACTGACCCCAGCTGACCCCAGGGACACTCCAGACCATGGTGTCATGCTCAGTATATAAAGAGGTTGGGGAAAGAAGGAGGGAGGGTGACAAGTGCAGAGTGATATCATTTGTCTTCCCAAGTCACCATTACCTGTGATGGAGCCCTGTTTTTCTGGGGATGGCTGAACACCTGCCTGCCCATGGGAATTGGAGAATGAATGCTTTGCTTTGCTTGTGCATGGGGCTTTTGTGTTCCCTACTAAACTGTCTTTATCTCAACCTATGGCTTTTCTCACTTTAACCCTTCCAATTCTCTTCTCCATCCCACTAGAAGGGAGTGAATGAGTGGCTTTGTGGGACTTAGTTGCTGGCTGGGATTAAATCACAATTTGTTTCAATTTGGGCAGATATTTTTGATGCTGTAGGAACTAATAAATTGAGATAAAACATGGCTAAGAGCTGAATGGATCAAAGTGTCCAGTTCCTATTTAAGTCCATGACCATTCCACAGGGAGAGCTTTTGCTGTTCCCTCAGGCTGTTGCCTCATTGCAGCATAGAGTAGACAAAACAAATGGAACTTTTAATGATCTACCACAAGCAACTGCAGCAGCATGGAGTTCAGTATATCCTGTGTCTTGGCAAAATCAGATACCTCTCTAGATGAATGCTTTGTAAGCAAACCTACATATCCTAAGGAAGATTTTTACTATTCAGAAAGGAGAGGGACAACTATGAATTAAAATAATTTGGTCCGCGTATTTTTCTTACGGCTGGCTAGAATTGCAAGTGTCCTGTGTGTTGTTGCCTATAGCTGTTGTGATGTGTTAATTTACCCCCCTGATTCTGTTGTAAGCTCATCTGGTGGTATCCTGAGTCTCCAGCTGGTTCTCCGCCAGACAAAGCCCATGAGAAGGACGTGTAGAGCAGCCCTCAGGCACACCAGGGGCAGCTTCTGGGGATGTGGCCCTGTGCTGTTCCATGCTTTGGGAGTCTGTACCTACAGAGCAACATGTTAAACCTACCTGATAAAATCAAAGTAGATGATTGGGCCACTGAAGGAGACGGAGAATTTGGCAGAGGGTTGTGTATTATGTTTTGTGCCCCCCAGCAGGTGCATGGTTCCCCCAGCTATTAACTTCCAGTTAGGACCTTTCCTGAGCTCTTAGTGTTAGAATAGTTTTCTTATGCTGATAATGTATTTGTGTTATGCAACGTACTCAGAAAACAGAAGATTATCTCTCTATGACTGTCCTCTCCTCTCGAGAAGTTGTTCTCCTTTGTACATATGATATGCAGAATGTATGGGAGTCTTACCAGCGTTGGTTTGCATTTTTAAGACTGTACTAAATAATGTGTGATACTATTGTGTTTTTGTAGTGGCATCTTTGATGTAAGATGTAAAAACTATTTAATTTTTTTTGTTGTTGTTGTTATTGTTCAGCTTTTAGAGCTAGCACCAAGGACTGCATGTTCACTAGAATCAGCCTTTTTCAGGGGCTGTCATAGCTGCACGCAGGCACCGGTGTTTCCCCCGGCACGTAGCACCTGCGTTCTTCTTTTAATAGGGGTCAGTTTTGAGTGGAAACTAATTCTTCCTGAAAAGTCTAGTTTTGTCTTTCCCTCTCTCAGACTGAAGCTTCCCCCTCCCATGCTGTGTGCCAGCCCTGGCCCCAGGAGAAGACCTGGGAGGAATGTCTCCTGACCCGGGGCACCCCGCTGGCATCAGGCTCCCTCACCCCATAGCTCACCCAATGCATGTTCCTTGGAATTTGGTTTTCCTTGGAACAGCTGGCTGTGCTAGCACAAAAACAGTGGGTTCACATTGCAAGAAAACTTGTGCAAGTGACTTTAAAATTAATTGACTTTAAAATTGAGGGGAATTAAGGAAGAGCCTGAGCAGCAATTTTAGGGTCAGAATCTTATTGGGGTGCTTAATATAGCAAGAATGTGGGGTCAGTCCCTAAAAGACAGGACCATTTGAATGGCTTAGGTCTACATTTCTTGTCAGGTTTTGAGATTGAAGTGGGGCTCAGATCCAGCCTTTCAGGTAGGGTTAACTTACTAGATAGACTGAGTCTGAGCTCCTACTCCAGATTGTGTGGTGGGCCAAAAGACAAGACATGCTGCAGCTTAGGAGTTATTTTAATTTCAGGGTTCTTTTTTTTCTTTTTAATGAAGAAAGAAGTTCAAACTGCACCTGGCAAAATGACTGACTTCAAAAGCATGTTTTTCCTCATTATATAGACACTCACAAAACAGCATTGTGTGGCTAAAAAGGCACATTTGTGACAGTTTCTTTCCGAGTGCCAAAATATATAAGCAGTATTGTTTGAAGGGAAATAAAAATTTTTTTACTGTATTGTTATTATTGTTGAACAAATATATTGTTTTTAAATGTTAGATTTTGAAGACTTTTGTATTGTAAATTGTTTTGTGACACGGTGCTTTTTCATACTGGAATTACTGATTGCACCTAAATATGAATTACTGCTTTCTTATATAAATATGTGACCTTGAACAATCTTGATGAAAACCAATGTGTGGTGGATACCAACAGTTCAAAAAAGATTC